CATTTTGTTTTCGTGAATACCACAAAATGACCACTCGGTAGGTTTATTCGCGGTTTCAGTTAATGAGTTTCAAACATGACCGTCTCAATATTGTGCCTTTCGTGTCCTCGTCGGCTCATTTTCGCGTTTCTACTAAAATGAGGAAACGCAAGCGCGGTGGCTGGTAAGCAGCACTTAGTCGCACACCACCATCAAAAATGACTGTCCCCTCATTGGTCAGCTCGAACACCCGGTCGCTCTTCGCAAAGATGACGGATCTAACGTGTACCCTTGATTCATGCATCCACCGTAACACGTGTGTTGTTTGTTTTCAATATTCCTGGCTTGACCATAATGTCGACGACTCACTAATTGGAATCAATGGTTTTAAATGCTTCCGTAAGGATAAGAAGCACTACAAGAAGAAAACAAGAGGTGGAGTGATCACGTACGTCAACTCAACCTGGAGCGGCAAATCTGAAATTCTTTTTGATTATTCCGCCGATGGCATCGACTGCTTAGCAGTTCAATGTTTCCCTAGATTTTCGCGATACAGAAGTACAATCATTACCAACTTATACATAGCCCCCTTTTGTACCCAGTCTCACTTTTCATCTTTCTTTGATGCTCTTATTCCGTCTTTCGTTCCCCTCATAGACAATAGTGTCCACATCATTGTTGGTGACTTTAGTCATGAATCCACCTATCCCATAGCTTCTTTTGGCTTAACTGATATTTACTTGTCTCCCACAAGAGATGATTCACTTTTAGACAAGGTTATTACTAATCACCCAGAACATTTTGCCCTAAAACTCACCGCACCGATTTCCACTAGTGATCGTGCACTGATTCTCATAAGACTCACAGTCTACTCCCGTCCCATTCACAATACACTCACAAGAATCAATCAAATCACCATTCGTCTTCGTAATCTCTTCCCAAGAAACACACTTCTTCTTAAGCGTTCCATCAGTGTCGTTTCTTCGTGGTTTTCTTCTTATCCATCTTTACGCAATGCAGTCAACTTGTTCACTGAAACACTTAACCACATGCTTGACCTGTGCTGCCCTTTTGAAACTCTATTTGTTTGTACCGGCAGAATAGCATCTCCACTGCTGAAATCATTCAGAAGACAGAAGGAACGATCGTACAAATCTAGAGACTCATCGGCTGTCAAGCATTACACCGACTTGATCAAAGCTGAAATCAAACGTCCCTCTGCCTCATACGCCTCCCAGCTTCTACCATGTAACAACAGTAAGCGAATTTGGCAAGTTATCAAATTGCTGTTTGGGATCGAATCCAAAACGTCGGATGGTACAACGGATTTGGACAGTGTTAATGCAGCAATTATCCACCCATCAAGCGATGCGATCACGCCATTTGTTCTGGACGATGCCGTTCAAGTAGAGGCAGTTTCGAAAGAAGAAACTCTTGAGCTTTGGCGTACCGTGAAAACCACATGCCGTGTTAGTCCCGATGGTCTTTCATCTTCCCTTCTGAGATATGGGGCCTAGTCTCTCAGTGAAATATTCACATAATTTCTGAACAATTCTTTAAAAACCTGCTCTATACCAGACTGCTGGAAATCAGTAACAACTGTTACCATTCCCAGATCCTATACTTCAAACGTTCTAACCAAACGCT